CCTACGTGCAGCAAGCGTCGCTGTGGGAGAGCTGCACGCGGGAGGACGGGGACCTCAACTGGAGCTGCGAGTCCCTCATGGACTACGGTGAGTGAGGAGCCCTCCGGGGGGCCCGGGGGCAGCGCTGGGTGCGGGGGGCGATAACGCCGTGAGTTGTCGTCCCACCTCTGCTGTGCAGCGGCTGTTTTCTGGGATGGAGTTTCCCTCGCAGAACCAGCACTAACGCTGTTTCAGGGCTTAAACCAGGGACAAAGTACAGGTCTAGACTGCTTCAGAGCAAACCTTTCTATTGGTACAACACTGGGAAGCCAGGGAGTTGGCGTGTTTGAGTTTTGTTAAATTTTTAATTTTTTTTTTTTTTTTAAAAAGTTATTTTACAACTAAAGTAAGAGCGCAAGTCCCTTCTTCAGTTTGCTTTCTCTCGACTCTGTTCAGGCTGCAGACCCAGCAGCCTCACCTAGCACCAGCCAGCTCCCCCTCCTTGTGCCGGTGGCATTGCTGGTTGGAGCACGGAAACGTTCACGCAGGGTGTCCCATGAAGAACCACACCGGGACAACAGCAAAATGGTCTGCCCCTGGCGCTCCACGGGGGAGAGAGAACCTTAATTTAATCCTGCCTGCCTGGCCAAGGGAATGAAGCCATTAAGATACCTCCCAACCTGCAGCTCAAAATAGCCTGATGTGGGTTTGTGGGCAGGAAAAAAAATGTTATTTCCTCTGTATACCTCCCTATTGTACTGGGGCCTAAATCAGGGGATAATTCTGCGTCTCCTAATTTGCTGAGCTGTTTCTGTATCTGGCGTTGCCAGTCTAACACTCGGTGCACGCTCCTAGTTTCTGGTTTTTCTTTTAGGGGAATGACTTTCTTTTTCTTTTGTTTTTCCTCTTTCTTTTCCACTAGAACTCATTGTCTGATTACATCTTCTTTTCCCGCAAACCAAATATTTCTGAACAAATAAGTAGACTTGCTTTAAGATCCTGAATGAGGGTACTTTGGGGACTGGGAAGCTGGAAGGGCGTGTTTCAGCTGGGAGAGCCAGGACTGTTTCTCTGCACAGATCCCTCGCTGCCTGAGCACGGCGGGCTGAATTCCAGAAGCTTTTCATTGCGACACTCATGCATAAGCTACACCCTGAATATATTGTAAAAGCAGTGGCTTTATTTCTCAGACAGGTGACGACTGCAAGTTTTGCTCTGACTGAAAGAAATATGACTAGTTTGACAAAACTATCCGTCTTCCCCATTAGTCAGAGAAGAAAGCCAGGGCAGAGTTGCTGGAATTTGCATTGCACTGGGAAGAAGGGCTAATCCAGTAGATCCGCTGGAATTTGCTTTCTCCTGTGGTGACGCTGCTTCTCAGTCCATGAGTACTGATGGGTGTGTGCTTTGTGTCAGCCCTGAGTGTTGTGGGGCAAAAGCAACTTTCTGCTTTTTTTTTTTTCTGTAGTTAACAAGCTGTCAGAGAACAGTAGTATCCTTGACTTTGTTTATTTATGCCTTGGCTTATTTAAACCCAAATTCATTTAAATTCTCAGTTTATTTATACCAGCTTGACTTTGCCTCTTTTCTAATTTTCATGACATCAATGCTACTGTCTACTCAAATGCTATTTAAATCTAGAGACAGGATGTAACATATGAGTTCAGGTTTGAGTTATTTTGTTTCCTTTTTTCTATGCTAATGCAATTAGTCTCAAAATAGATGAGGGCATTTACAAAGTAAAAAATGCCTAGCAGGCATTTACAGCACTGCTGCAGGAAAACAAAAGTTAATTAATTGAGGTGCATAATTTGTGTTTTGCATACAGTAAATACTATGCACTAACCATCCTGCACCTCTCCTGATGAAACAAACTTCAGAGTGAATCCCCATTAATAGAAAGCTCCATTAGACAGTTTATTAGTTGATCTGCAGCATGTGTATTAAGAAGAGAAAGAGAAAATGCAGCCAACTCACTTATTTTAAATGGGGGGCAGCAACAGACACACAAAGATTTGCAGATAGGAGTGTCTCCTCCTAAACAGCACTGCTTCTTAATGTGCATTTGCAAATGCTGTATGAGAGGGAAGAAGTGGAAAGGGAGAAGTAAGAGTAGGATATCATTTGGTAAGGAATTGGGGAGGGGATTTTGTTTAGAGTTCTCGACTGGTTTGTGTCTGGGAAGCACCTGGCTGGCAGAGTCTGTGTATTATCAAAATGTTGCAGCACAGAGCTGTTGTGCTGCACTATAATATGACTCAAGATGACTTAGTCTGGACCAGTGCAGGATTAAACTGTTGTGTGTGTGTTTAAAGCATGTCAGTGAGCCATCAGATATGACAAAGACTGTTTGCAATGTAGTTACTTGAAGAGCGTGGCTGTCTTTATAGTAATGAGGCTGTAAGTTTGGAAGCAATATTTGTGGGGGCTGTGTCCTCCAGGTTCTGAATGGCTGCTCCCAGAGACTTCGCTTTGAACTATCACTATAAAACATGGGCGTGTGTGTGTGTGCAGTAAAGGTGATTCCATTGAGGTTGACTCCTTCCTATATTCCTAACAGCCACTTGGTAATCATTACATACACAACGGCTGACCTAGAAAAAAAGGAAGCATTCACATAGATCTTTAGTAAAAGTGCCATAAAAAGGAGAGAGGAAAAAAAAAAAAGTGGGACCTAGAAGTAAGAGCCCAGCCTTTTGTGAATCATGTTTCACTGTGCCTGTGCCACTGTACCTATGTCCCTAGAGGCATGGACTTTGAAACCACAGATTACTGGTGAAGCTGAGTGTTTGTGTCCATTTCATTTAGGGGCCAGGTAAATAAAAGAGGAATGTATGCCTCTTTTCAGGCATGCTTTTGTCTCATTTTTGAGGCCAGGATACATTCAAGATGAGCTTAGTTTATAGTGTCAGTCAAGCGTAGGCTCTCAGAAAATGCTCATGGAAAAGGTGTGGCAATTGATGTCCCTGTCTACGCCCAGAAAACATTTACTGCAGCTCCCCAGTAAAAGATCCCAGTGATCAGGCAAGGCTGGCCTCCCTTCCAGTGGACTTTGCTGGTCTCTGGGCAGGTGCAATTCTACTGCTAGCAACCCCGAGACATTAAAACTTGGAAATTTTTAGGATTATGCTTCTCCTGAACTCCTCACAGAACCACGTTGTTGAAGCAAAGTTTGTACTAGGAAGCTTTTATTTAATAGTTCGGTAGTTGCTTTTCCTGCACTCCGAAGGCCAAAACAGAGCAGTGATTCCCAGTACTATTTCCAAGACAGCCCTCCAAATAAACCTTTGATTCTGGGATTTCCTGTGTTCCTTGTGGGTATGCACATGCCTTCCACAGCCATGCTACTGTGGAAGCTTGCACATTATGTGAGCAAGCACATACTCCTGACAATACTCGCTTGAAGTCTACCAGTCCTTTCTTTCATCAGCAAAAGCAGGTATTTTGGGGGCATACTGTGTAATGGACTCTCACGGCCAAACAAGAATTATTACTGCCACTTATGTACAGAAAAATTTTATAACTACAGTGAAAAAAGGAGCTTCATGGTAAAAAACTTCTGCCCTAAGATTCCTGTCATCCCCAAACTAACAATCTGGCTTCTGCTTTTGTAAGTGAACAAAGATGATAAAAGCTTGTTACTTCAAATCCTGTGCAGTCCATCTTCCTGCTAGACTATTTTCACAGTCCTTTTATTCAGTTCTAAAGGGAAATCTAGATTTAAATATCCTACACTGCAGAGCTTCCATCTCCTCCCTGGTGAGGCTGAGGCACAGCTGAATACCGTCAGGAAATACACCTAACACTGAGGCTCTGTTCATTTTTTTTCTTTTCCATTTCATCATATTACTGGTGCTCATCATTGACTTTAGTAATCCCGACCCCTCCTAGTTATTTGAGTGATAACATGTGCAGCTTGGTTCCTTTCTATAGTCATCATTAATTAAGCTATGTAATAAAACTCTTAATCCTTCCTAATAATTATAGACCTTCAGCCCTCACACAGTGGGGTTTTCTTTAGTGTTCTTTCAACACCACCTAATTGATAAATACTTTTCTGTTGATTAGATGCAAAGAACTTGACTTGTCTTTGAGGTAAAGCTGACCTGGAAAACACTAATACCTTCAACTGTTCTGCTTTTCTCTTTCCTGTTCCTCTGCTCTCCTATTTATGCAGCCCCAAATTACTGCGGTGTTATTGTTTGGTTTCATGAACAGGCATCACATTTATGCCTATTTTCTGTAAGAAATACTCTCTGCCAAATAAAGTGACCCAAAAATTTTCTATTTTTATGGAAAACTTAAATTCTGGCTAAATGTCTCATGATTACAGCATACTTCTGAGCACAAATCAGCTAGAAACTGGGGGTCATATGTATTTCTTGGAGTGTGAGCAGGGCTCTCCAACTCTTAATGCAGCAAACAGAGTGTAAACTGGCACCTCCTCCCTCCCAGCACCCTCGAGCCATAGGCACAAGATCTTGCAGATGGAGATAGGAGAGCTGGGTGCCTGAAGGGGCTCAGACAGCTTTCAGGAGCCTCTGGGAGGAAAAGGAGACAGAAAGCCTGACTTGATAGGTACGGGGATGAGGGGGATCCTGCACAGAGAAACAGTGATTTCAGTCAAACCCCTGCAGCAGCCCCTCAACCAAAAGCTCTCCCCATTGGTGGGTGTAGCAATGGTTTGTGTTGGAAAGGAGTGTGCTAGGGCTGCACCCTGTGCTCTGTAAGGGTGAAGCCTCCCACCCTAACCTCATCCATCAGTCACTTGTAAAAAGACTTCTGGTTAGTTTTTTGAGATTTCTCTTACATTGTGTATATATACAAACCCAGAGCTTCCCACTGCTCTTTCTGTGACTCCTGCTGGTGCTCAAGTGGCAGGCTGGTCATTCAATGCCTGTTGTCTAGTCCAGCCCTGAGTGTACTCTTTCAGCATTGTGGCCAGCACAAATGACTCAGTCTTATCTGGTCTTGTCTGTATCAGCCTGCTGATAGCTGCTGCTGGAGAAGATAGTCCAGCAGGAGACAGAGAGAGGAAGGTACCTGGTGGGGTTACCAGCACCAAGCTCTGTCACATATGAGTACAAAACCTGCTGAATTTCATAATGGTGGTGCCTACTACTGCCCCGTTTCTGAAGACCTGAAACAAAGTTTGGCTTGATATTAATCTTCCTGACAAGCCATCTCCTATAGCTCTGTGTTGTCATTTTCACATCACCAGGAACAAGAAAATAAATCACAGTGAGTGGAGCCGGAGCTGACCTGTATTCAAAAGCTTGTTACACTTGTAAAATAAGCACAGGGATATGGAAATAGCAGTGATAGCACAAGGGGCTTTCTAGCTTGTATCTCCTCCGGTCATGTTTGTGTTGCACCAAACATCAAGGTGTCTAACCTGCAGGTGTATTCAAGTTTAAAATCTAAGTTTATCAGCTAGGTCCTAGACTTTGCTTCCTACACTGTGCTGGCATATGTAATGCATCTGAAAAAGAATGTGCTTCAATAGCTAAGTGCTCTTTCTTGTTTTAGGCTTTTTTTCTTAGTAGGGTAAATATCGATAAACAGCATTCCTAGGTTATTTAGTCTAAATCACTTTTCCTTGGCTGACTGGTATAATGGTTAAATGGTATGGAATGGTTTGGGTTGGAAGGAACCTCTAAGGGTCATCAAGTCCAACTTGCTTGCAGTGGGCAGAGACATCTTTAACTAGATCAGGTTGCTCAGAGCCTTGTCCAACCTGACCTGGAATGTTTCCAGGTATGGAGCATCTACCACCTCTCTGGGCAACCTGTGCCAGTGTTTCACCACCCTCATTGCAAAAAAAATTTCCTTAGTCTAAACCTACTGTTTGTAAGTTTAAAATCATTACCCCTTGTCCTGTCACAAAAGGCCTTGATAAAGAAACTGTCCCCATGTTTCTTATAGCCCCCCTTTAAGTACTGAAAGGATGCTACAAGGTGTTTCTGGAGCCTTCTCATCTCCAGGTTGAAGAACCCAAATTCTCTCAGACTTTATTCACAGGAGAGGTGTCCCACCCCTTTATATTAATTATTCCTAAATAAACCCTGTTGTGGAGACAACATCCAGTACCTGCATTAGATATGTCAGAGAATATTTTGTATGAAAAGTCTTTATCAGTCTCCCAATGTAGCAGTAATCTCCAGACGCTTATTGGGTGTCCTCCCTTCTCACCCTGCAGCACTCTTTTACTCTTTTAGAGAAGGGGTGTAAAACATGCAGAACTGGCTGAAGAAGAACTGATTTGGAAAGTTTTTGCTCTCTTAAGTAGCTCCAGGAAGGGAGAGGGGGAAGAAAACCCTTTCCCTTACCCTTTCTATGCCAACATGACTGTCTTCGGGTGGCAGTGGTGATGGCTGGGTGTTCTGGGCTGAGATCTGGGGGACAGGTGGCTGCTCTATCTCACTTCTGGTATTGGAATAGTGGGTAAAGAAACCAGTTCTGACTGATCTGATGAAAAAAGCTGTAAAACAATGCTTTGCTTTCAGGGAGTGACTTGATAAAATCAGAGGTGTCTGAGATAGTTTTATTGTATTGTCTGTCTCAAATTACAAATTTTTCCCCATTTATGCAACTAGTAGAGTACGTGAGTTAGGGTGGAGGATTTTAACTCGTTAGGAGAAAGTTCTTTGTATCACTGCCTTTTTACTCTGAGTTTTTGCACGAAAAAGACAGAGGCTATGTTGAAAGCAGGGTGTCTTCAGAGTAGCTTCAGCTGTGTTGGAACACACAGTTAAGATTTTACTTTTTTTTTTTTTTTTTTTTTTTTTTTAAATGGTCTGACCTAGATCTCACCACTCTCTTTATTCCCACGTTAGAGGGAGCTCGGGATCTGGTCCTACCTCTGTCTGAATGTGTAAAAGTAGGAACCTATGTTATGCAGATGTGGGAAGTCAGCTGTGATGACAGCTGACTGGAAAACAAAGCAGTACCCGGTATGGGCTAGCCCATGTGGGCAGGCATCCTGCCTCCAGGGCAAGAACACCTTTGCATGTTGTTTTCATGGGCTCACCTCAAATCCTGCTTGGTTTTTGAAGAGGACAGGGTCTGGCCATAATGAAGGCCTTTCACAAGCCCATGTTACTGTGAGAAGGAACCTGCTGGCTGTTTTTCTGGGAGGTTTTCTTACCTTTACTTGGCCAGGCACCGACCTGTGGTAAGTGAATCCCTGGTGCTGGTGCTGCTCTGCTGGGGTAAGGTCACTTGCTTTGTGTCTGAGCCTTTCCAGCCTGCAGCTGCTTCTTCCAAATAATCTGCACAACCCCATCCCATCAAATGTCAAAGTAATCATTCAAAGGGGACTGTACCTGAGATTCTGCGGTTTCTCTTCCAGCTGCTACATTTTAGCAATTTCTATTTTTTTTTTTCAGCTGTGAATACCCATACTCACATGCTTACCCTCTCCTAAGCAGAGGAAGAACTTTCTTTTCAAGAACTTTCTCCTTGTCATTTCTCACTTCAGCTATTCCAAATGCATTTCTTTTTGGTTGTGCTAATTTTGCTTCACATACATTATGCCCGTCACCAACATGAAGCTGTGTGCTGGTAGCACTCTTATTTCCCGGCAGTTATCTCCTGTGGTAGTGCTCTGTTGTCTGCTTTCATGCTTCCCCATGTGTGGAAGTGGTTTTGTAAACTTGCATGTTGACAGGAACAGTAATGATAAAGTGCATTTTCTTGGTTGTGTGTCCTACCTGCTCAGATGTCTGTGGGTCTCCTACATATCTGTATGTGGAGTTTAGAGGTGTTATCTCTATTACCATGCTGTCTTTTCAGCAGG